CTAATTAACAAAACATTTAAAAAAAATAAAATTAAAAATTTATTTTGGTTATAACTTTTTATACAATAACGCTATCTCCATAATTTTTACATAAATAAATGCAGAATTTAATATAAAATTGATTTATAAAAAAATCATTACGTTCGCATTACACGTTTTCAAATAATTAATTAAAAACTTTGACCGCCGCACGTGTTTACAACAGCGTACACGTAAACTCCACTGACGAAATGCATATTTAAGTTAAATTAAACATTAACAGCAAATTATAATGTACTTGGGTTATTTCGTTGAAATAAATTTCTTCGAACCTCATTGGCATTTCTATTAGTATAAATACTTGAATTATTTGTGTTTGCACTCGAGAATACTGACGCAAACCATTTGGAAAAAAATCCCAGTGTCACGAATGCTGTTATTAAACAGCTCGCCGTGACTAAACAGGCTAAAATTAAACTACATACATGCGAAATCAAAATTCGGAATTCCCATCATTATAATCGTTCACACAATCAATTCAAATCAAATAAAACTATATACCAAAAGTCAAATGTTACTTATATGTTTAAAAATAAATTTCATAACTTAAAATGCATGTCACGATGAAATGAGTAAAGTCTAGCCTGCATTGAGTTATGATCGTCTTGTGTTTTGCATTTATGTAATGTATTTATTACCAACTTATCGATGTGAGTTTTATTATAGCTTTAAAAAGTTTTAGTCATAAGTTAAGTCGTCTTTATTTGGTCGCGCACGTTCTCAATCGAAAGCGAATTGCGATTATTGTTTCCCGTGTGCAGCGCGCGCGCACAGACACACATGCGCACAGCGCGTTCGTTGTGTCTATTTATTTATTGTTATTAATCATCCGGGTAACCTTCGGAAAAGCCGTCCAGCGACGTCGTTCAAGTTCATCACAAAACACATCTCTATACTACAATCAACTGAATGCACGGTATATATTTTTATTTAAAATAGAAATTTTGAGATTTTTTTAATTTCGAGTAAAATTATTGAAAAAATTGCTCTGTGAACAGCTAATAGTACGTTTTAGGTTATGTGGTCAACGCCATCTAACAAAATTAATAGAAAACTAAGAAAATTCAAATGATAAACATGATTGACAATAATTGAGGTTAGATTTTTAATATTTTGCTTCTAGAGTCTTATTACAAATAACATTTCAATTCAACTGACACCATGAATGATATATTTTTATTAAAAATAGAAATTTAAGTTTTTTTCTTAATTTGCGAGGTTAGAATGATAAAATTATTGAAAAAAATGCTTCAGGAAAGAACGAGTAGTATGTTTTGAGGTTATGCTACTAGCGCCCTCTGATAAAATCTATATATACCTACAGAAAACAAAGTCGTGTTAGTTACAACACGTATAACTCAAGATCGGTTGGACAGATTTTGATGATCTTTGGTTTGTTGGATTTGTTTATTCAATGAATAACAGAATAATTATTAAAATATCAAAAATAATGAACAAATGGGTGTGAAATAAGGGTTAAAAATTACGCAACTACAAACACGCAGTCTTGGGTAAAAGCTACTAAAATTAGTTTTTTCATATTTTCATTTTTTTGCTTCTAAAAGTCTTCCCTTGACTAATACGTTCAAATCAAATATAAAATCGAACAATTCAATTACGATTCCATTTCCAAGTGTAAACAAAGCGCGCGTTGAACGTAATTCCACGTTATCTCCAGGGGCGCACCCACGGGGGGCGCGAATATGTCGCAAACACATCACCGGTGGGTCCTGCCCTATCACCACGTGTGGTCCACAACCCTTCCGATTCACGTTTTCAATCGAACGCGTTTTTTCCATCGCCGCGTCGCGGGAAGTCCGCTCTAACCTAGCGAAATTCTATAAACCTAAGGCGTGCGAAAAATTATTTCATTATCGACACATCGACGTTCAAGCCCCCAAGCAAAATGTTACATCTGACGAAACACTAAACATTTTTTTTGTAATATATTATAGTATAAGTATTAAAAAATGGGCTGTGCTCAATCGCAGCATGTTTGCACGTATTCACTGGAATAAATTATAAAGAGGATGGTCAGGAACAGATGCAGTAAAGGTAGACGTAGATTTAACCCTCTTTTAGGGAGAGATAGTATGTGTAAGGGTAGGTAATTTTAGAGTAACCATTGGGCACTTTTCGGACGATAGCCAACTACCAACTACCAACTACGCCCATTGGGATTAACTGGACAAAAGTTGCGTCCATTATTATTAGTTGTTTCATGTGATTTCCAGGTGGTCCAGGAGGATACAATAGAGTTGCTAATCAGGAGTTAATCTCACCTAACATTTGTGTATTTTTTAGTATAGGCAACTTTATAAACAAGAATTTTTAAACATTTTGACATAGGCAACTTTTTAAACTGTGGTGTTTTTAGGAAATGGATTTATTATTATATTTGACATTTAATTTTATGAAATTATAAATTATATCCCTGTTTTTAAACGAATTATTTACTGATTAACGAAAAAAATTAAAAAATTGTAAAAATTATTTTATTTTAACTATAACTTTATGTGATTATGTTATCAATTCAATTTTTGCATAAATAAATGAAGAATTTAATATTAAATTGATATATAAAAGAATTATTACATTCGCGCTTAACGTTTTCACGTAATTAATTAAAAACTTTGACCGATGCACGAATTTACCCCATAATACAATAGAGTGGCTAATCACAGACTAATCTAACCTATCCCTAGTGTATTTTATAACATAGACAACTAAATAAACACATATTATAATATAGGCAACTTTATAAACAGTTTAAAAAATTTATATTTAGGTTATGTTCCATTTCTTTTGTCTTAAACGTCAATTAGCATCCGTATGATTTGGTCACGCGTCACGCCGACGGCTCCAATTAGTCCGAATGCATAATGCAATGAATTTGCATACGCTTCGCATGCAAACACGTAAAAACAAAGCCCAAAGAATACCGCTATACGGCGTGGCGCGGCGCATTGTCGAAGGGTTTCTGAATGCTAAATGAGTAATGAATCGAAAGCGACGAGTGGTGAGTAAAGATGTGTGCCACCCGTGCACGCGTGCAAGATATTGTTATGGAAACAATACGTGTTTGTTTTTTGCATTTCGATAATGATCATTGAGAATCTCCCGTTGTTTGATTGACATAAAAATTAAGTCAAAAGTAAGGTTAAGTTAGGTTAAGTGTAAAGCTGGAAACGATTAATGTCAAACAGCTGGTGTGTTGACTTCCTGAGTTGATAAATTGATGTCGAACATATCGAATGACATCTTCGACTGTTTAGTATGTGTGCGTAAGAGATTTGTCTATTTTGGTGTTTGCTGGAGTTTTGGGATAGTTTCGCATGCACTCTGAGCTTGTGTAAACAAAGTGCGTGCCATCGTGCCACCAAAGAAGACGTATTGAGGAGAATTGGCATGTGAGTGGCATCGAAGCACAAGTCAAATTTGTTATTTACGACTTGTTTAGACGCTGCGACGCGTGTTGAAGAACCAGAAACAGAAACAGAAATTGAGACTTCCAGGGACGCAAAGTGTGTCTGCGACTGTATAATAAGCCATGTTGAGCTTGTGCTTCCGAGTTAGGGATTAATTTCACATTCGCATTCATCAACAATTCATTGGGAACATATTGGTGTTTAGTGTTTGCTCTGCATATCGATTTTCAGAAGCATGGACCACACGCAAGGGCATAAATAATTTAATAAATTAGTTTTTATTTTATTTATTTTTGGTGTTTTGAAGAATAATACAAGTTAGGTTAATTTGAAATGTGTCAAAAACTGTCAAAATCTAGTGATTGTCTTTTAGCTGTCAAAGTATTGGCCATTTTGCGTAGAATTTGTGAAAATATCTTTTAATTTGGTGCAGAACAAATAAAAGGAGAAATTTTGCTTGACCAGAGTGTGTTATATGTTGCCTAACCTCAAATATAGAAAATTTACGTTAAAAATATAGTGTGGTCAATTTCTGATGTCAAAACTGTCAAAATCAAGTGAATGTCACTTTATCTGTCAAATAATCAACCATCTTCTAATCATAAATGATATTTAAGCAGTAAATTTATAACATAAACTTTTAAATTGCTTTTTACAAGCAAAAGAAAAAGTTTTGCTTCTTTTTTATGTGTTTTATGTTGCCTAACTTGTTTTTATTAAGTTTTGACATTCAATACCCCACCTAACCTCAAATTTCTAGACATTATGTAATATTTTTCTTTAACTTTTATAATTCATACTATTTTATCATATGTGTGATGATCGTGACATGCCACGCCATGTGTTTGAATACTTTTTCTCCTTTTTCTTACTCGTACACTGAGCCCTTTCTTTCCGCTTTGACTTGCTTCTTGACTTCGCGTGTGCAACGTTTCAAATTGAGCACGCGCCCGTCTGCCCTTAACGCACGCATTCTACGCCTAATTAACGATCATTTCATTCCACAATTTTTACCTTTTTGTTAAATTCGATTTACCGTGAAACCATCAAAGACACATCAAAAGATATCGCCTTGGGCAATTAACCGATGCTTTTATATTTCACATTTCACATTTCATTATCTTGAAAAGCCATGAAAAGCAAAAGTGCGTTTGAATTCGCCTGTCAAAGCAACAATACACCAGAAATTCTAAAGTAATTGGCCCGAACGGCATGAAATTCTTAAAAGTGTAATTGCTACAAATTACGATAATTAAAACAAATTATACAAAGGTGGATACAATTTTCACGTCAAAAACATCAACATCAAAAATAAACGAATAAAAACCTAAAAGTAAAGTAAAATAAGAAATATTTTGGTATCCAATGTGAATTTGTAATTTTAAGAGAAAGGGAAATGATGGCGACGCTCGGCGTCGGCGTCGGATCAATACCCACGCGGCGTTTTCATTGGTCGTTCGCGGTAAACCAGCGTCGCGACGCCATTTTATCTCAATACATCTACACACAACACACGAAATAAATTCCACTTACTTTGCCAGGCTCCTTTTCGAAATCACACTCGCGTTCTGAATTATATTGCGACGTCGGGGGTGCAAAAACAAGATGTAGGTTGGTTCCAGTGGCGGCGAAAGCCATCTCCGTGTGTCCTTCACGACATCCGTTTTGGAAACGTACTTGGCGTTCTTCTTGCGGTCGATCTCGATAACCAGTATAACGCACCTTAAAAAATCAAAACAAAAAATTTAAAAAAATAAAATTTTGCTTTGTAAACATGTAAACATGTGATTCTTAATTATAACATGACTAGATAGATGAATATCATTCATAAAGAGCAGCGTGCATAATAATAATAATTCTGCGAATTAATCAAGCGAAAAAAAGTGATTCAGCTTGGTGCGCCTGCGCGATTCGCGGAACTGGTCTAGCGAAAAGTGAGCGTCGCGTCGCGCCGACGCGAGTGAATGAGTAATGCGGACCGGACATTCCGACATTTCGTCATTTTGACTCAACACGTACCTACATCAAAACACAAATATAAAATAAAATTTTGATAGAAATTAAAATTTTACCTCTGTTTCTCTGCTAAGTCTCCTAAACAGCTCGTCACTTTCAAATTTCGCCTTCTGGTCAGGCACAACACGTGGCATCTTGAAGATAAACCTAGGCTTAGGCTGTTCGTACAATCCCATTGAATCGAATGGTAACATTCCGGCTAGGGCAGCCGCCGGATCATTCATTGCGTGCATCATGATTAAATTTATTTTTAAATAAAAAAATTTAAAACACAATTTTTAAATTTATAAAAACACTTTATATTTAAATTAACACACAAAATATTTTTTATGTTAAATTTTATTATTGTTTATATTATTGTTGTCCGCGTGTTGATTTCTGCGAAGAAAGAGCAAAGCATTCGCATTCGCGTCCGGTGTGTTACTAAACACTCTCGCATGCTTGTCCACTGACGGTTGGGAAGGCCAGGAGTGGGACGAAGACCAAAATAGGGATTCCCCAAATACCCGTCGGGAGACGGGAGACTACACGCAAGGGAGGTCGTTGCTATTCAAAGGCGGAGCTTGCGATTCCATGCTCTTGTGTGATTCGTTCACATTGCATCGATTTCTGCTTTCATACATTCCACTTCTACAAACAAAGATTTATTCTTCAATTTATGTGTTTCTATGTGTGTGTTGTGTATGTTGGGGGGCCTGCTTTATTCTATTACTGGTAACGTTGGCAACAGGCTCGGGGAGCGAGCCCCTTCGGAATACGGTAGCAGTTAACGGTGCAACCGTGTCGCTTTTTTTCTTCTCTTCTCTTCTCGATACTTGTTGTGTTGTGAAGTGGGTTTGAATGGATGATAGGATGATACATGTCTAGTAATATGTTGATATGTTGATACTTTGGAGTCTTTTAATAGGATTTATCTTTGGGATTTGATCTGTGATCTTTGGATTGTTCAGTTTTGGGTTGAATTCTATTAACATCTGTTCAGTGACATAAGGATGTCTTAAGTTTTATAATCGAGAGCAGAGTGTTTAATATGAGAGGAAACTAACCTATAAATTTAAAAATTTGGGTTTATTATAGGTTAAAATGTGAGGAAGTATACCTAATATTTGCACTGATTTTTGTCAAATTTTTCTAAAATTTGAATTTTCAGAACATTAAGCAATGGAAATAATTTTAGGAATAATTTTATTTGAAATCAAGCTTGATAAACAATTTTTATTTCTACTTAATCTCTTTTTCTTTGCAAAATTCGGAAAATTGTTAAGTTACGTATATAAAACACTGAATTAAAGCAATATAACTCAACAATGACGTCACTTTCCATGTTTTCCATTTTGTTAATTCAAGATTGACGTCACAATCAACGCAAAACATTAAAAACACGAGTTAAAATATTATTCTTAAACTAAAATGTCATTTTTATCAACTAAACTAACAATTTCGGAAAAATATAATATTAATTACAAATAATAGGTATAGGTACAGTTTTCTACATTATCCTACGGTTTTTTTTAAGAAAAATCATACGTCAACAGCGAGTATTCTTTATCCAACGACACAACCAACATTACAGCTACTGGTTTCTTAACTATTGCCATAAAAATATATTATATTTCGTTCTTTTGTGTATAATATTAAAGAGATGAATATTCTTAACAAACAAGTCACGTGTCACCATTTCGAAACTCTCAGCTTTCAGCACAGTTTTGAATAATTTGAATATCGAACATTCAAACATCGTTCCGAACGATTTGAATGGAACTAATGCGGGGTCGGCACGCGTCCGTCGCGTCGTCGCACAGCTCACGCTGCGAGCGATTGAAATGCGAGCATAATCAGCCAGCACGACGCCCTACAAATTATAACAGCATAATAATGCATAAGAAACACGATAAAGTTAAAACACACTTAGAAATAAAATTTTAATGTTATGAATATGTAAGTTGCTTTTATTATAGGTTATGTTAAATATTTAGAAATTTGAGGTTAGATTATGAAATTCCCAACAGCTGTGTTTGCAATTTTTGGAACTACTCTAAACCCAAACAAACAAAACACAAACAGTTGAACCCTTTGCCACCACTTGAAATATATGCAAAAAAATTCACACTTAAAGTTTTCTCCATTTGATCATATTGATGACGGAATATTTACTGAAAACATTATGAATACACAAGTGGCACATAAGTGTCATATTCATGCGGATAAGTTGACACTCTGATCACAACATATCCTATCCACACAACACTCATCTACATACGTCACTCAAAAAGGGCATCTTTACCTGATCACCCTTTGCGACACCCTTTTCTCACACTATACACATACACACATATACAACGAATGTAATTCTATATCGAATTGCAAATATTCGATAATACGCACGACCAGTGCCCGAATTTCGAACCCTTTGCGCGTTAGGGTTGACCTATTGTCTCTAACAAGCGTATGAATATAAAATTATCGAATTACGTGCGCCGACACGCTATACGCCGGACGTTTTATTACCGTCGCTAATAAATTGTGTAATATCATATTTTGTGAACGAGGAACTCCCACGATTACATGCGTCAATGCACACACAAATAACAGAACCTAGGTTATAATTATATTTTATTATAGGCAACACATTGTACACACACATACATGTTTTATATTGTATTAGCTTTTGCCCGCGACTTCGTCCTGGTAGTGTTTAATAAAAATTTAATTCGTTTTTACTCTCTGGTTCTAGACATAGTAGGTATGTGTCAATTCTATCAATAAGATTCGCAATTTTATTTTAAAGAAATAAATTATATAAAGAATTGCTAATAATGCACTTCAGCGCGCCATCTCGGATTCAACTATTTAACTATAACTATGATTGAATCTCAATGCCAACTTTTATCCTATAAAAAAGGGCTGTCTTTAGGGTTTTCCCTGCAATTATTCGAATTTTTCTCGCCTTAAAAACCATCCTTGGACTTTAACGAACATTTAAAAAAAAGAATTGGCCAAATTGGTTTAGGCGTTGTTGAGTTATGCGCTTACAAACACATTTTGCGATTTATTTTTATATTTATAGATGAGAAATAAACAAAACACGATATGTTTGATGTGTGTTGTAATTTCTGTCTTCGGTATTCTTTTTGATGTTTTTGACGACGCAATAAAAAAGGGGTTGTGGTGTTATTTTCAGCGTCGGCGCCGATGAAACAACTGCACAGAACAGAACAGAACGACCGTAACGGAAGACGGATATGTCCAGCACGCGATGCAGACAACAAAAACGCAATAATTTTTTGTTTTCGGTGGTTTTGTGCAATTCTTGTTACATAGGGAAGTAAGCGATTAAATAAGGTCGTTCGTTCGCCCCGGCTCGTTGGCGTCGTTCAACGCACGCAGCAATCAATTATTGTTTACGTGTTTACACGTATCACGCACCAAAGCGGAAGAGCGCAACCCTTGCGATGGAATACTTTGTTGCTGTGGTGCGGTGTGCAGATGCTCACGTCATGTTTCGCTCATTATGTTTTCTGTTTTCTGTTTTTTTGTTGTGTGGAGCTACAAAACGATTACGTTTACAAGCAGTTATTAATTAGGCTAATTGTGAAGAACATAAGGGTGAAGGAGGGTATAACTCATAAAAAGAATAAAATGTTTTAAAATATTCTTAGCCTTCAGGGATTAAATAGGTAGGAAATTGTACTAATGATAGGAAATTGTTTTTCTGGGTTGTGTTAAGTTGGAATTAACTATGTTTGGTGACAGATTGAACTTATTTTTGTTCATTTCCGGACTAGTTCTGGAAGAAATAATTTAATAACTATGAAATTTTGTGTTTATATACACGTATTAAACAATTTTGTATGTGTTGTGCCCTTTGTAACTGAAAAATGTCAACGAAATTTTTAGATTTTTTGCATTTCTCATTGCTTAGAATAGAAGAATAACTACTAAAAAATTATGTAAACTTGATAAAAATGGAAAAAATTTAAAAAAAAATTTTTCTTAAGGTTATATTTTTCGGGGTTAAAATATTATCTTTTTATATTAAAATCAAGACTGCAATCATTTTATACAATTTTACAATTTTTCCTTTTTTTAAAAAACTGATTTTTAATAAAACCTAATTATTTTTGAGTATAATTAATTAACTATACAATTTGGTCCATTTTCTTTTTATATTGCATCCGGTTGAAGTTTAGTTGTGTAGTTGCCGCTAAACGAATTCTAAACAGATTCTAACGTCTCGCATTGTGTACAAAGTGCAATTTCACGCTATCTCCACCCTAAATATCGAAAATTTGGAATACAGCCAGCCTCACACCCTCGCCGCCCCGACATCATCAATCACCAGTCTTTAATGTCGTCCCACCGTGTTTGCTGTAAAATAAAAAAGGGTGAACAATACTGATTCGGACCTTATCGAAACTCATTTCGGATGTTTTAGATTTTTTTCTTCTTTAGCACACGTGCAAAACAGATACTATCAACTAAATCTATCCTAACTAAAGCGTTAAAATGTTAAAACATATAAGTAGTAGATGTAGGTAATCTATTCCAATAGATTAAATTCCGTTTTTTTTTTCTTTTTAACGCGTGACAATGATATGAAAACAGAAATTATTCCGTAAATGTGCATCGAATCAATCATTTGTTTCATTCACGTCTTGTTGATAAGTAACTAACTTTTTATTTTGAGCTTATAAGAGAGAATGGTGAAAAGCATTGATGCATCATGTAATTAACTTTCCGTCTAGTTGTAATCATGCTTGAATGCATTTTGGTTCTTTGTTTTACCTAGACTCTCATGCTTGAGCAAATCACTCGGAACTAATCGCTTTGTTTCATTATTGATTTTTGTTTCTTCGTTTTTAATTTTTTGTTGTATGTACCTAGCTCTGGGTACTTACATTTTACATTGTAACTGCGATGGAGTCTGTGGTCGGTGGTCACGTAAAATCGTATTGCAAAACCACACAACTCACATAAATAACGAAATTTTAATTTTTCATTGCGATTGAAATTTCTTCTGTGTTTCTTAATACAAAGTAACAGAACTAATATTATTTAACTAACAAATCTTTAAAATTATTTTAATTTAAAATTATATTTAACCCTTATTTTCCTACGTGTAAATATGTGTTAATTATGTCATAACTTTATGCAGTTAGTTTACAACTTGATATCTATTTGAATATTAAATTTTCCTAAACGGTTAGTAAATGATTTGCATAAGTTGAGCGCGGACCCTTTTTTATTACGCGCGCAACAATGACACAGAGGATGCGGCGCGAATGTTTGAGATTCGACACGGTTTGCCTTCGACATAGCAATAACGTCATCATATATCACTATCCCGCTGTGTAAAATACTTATTAACACTTGAATGACAAATTGTTTCAACGCGAAAAATTCAAAATCAAGACTACAAAGTTTTATTTTTTGCACTTGTTCTCAAAAATACGTTAAATTTTATCTAATTATACAAAAATAACCTAAAATATTACTTTATATCTTGATTAAAATAATAATTTTAGTTATAAAGGGTTCTTTGGTGTACAACTCAATAAAAACGTCAAGATTGCAGAAATTATGAGGCGTGTAATGATCGCATTAAATCGCTAAATGCGCTTTTTGTCCAAAAATGCGTTTACCCTTTCAGATTCCAACTTTCCGCACATTTTTTTCCATGTGTCAGCCCTTGATAATATGTTTTAACCACCCTTGGGAGTCCTGGAGAGATGAAAGTGTAAAAGTGCAGTGCGCAATCCGCACTCGAACGGAAACATTGATTCTTTCAATTCGTGAACAACCAAGCGTACGTAATTCAATTATTATTTTATGCACTCGGAACAATTCAACGAAAAGGCGTTAAATTGTGTTAAAATGGGTAAAAAAGGGTTGTACATCTGGGAGAAGTTAAGTAGAAACATAAAAGAATTATTTTATTGTATAAAAATCGAAAATTGTAAAATTTGGGTGTGAAAAATGACTTTTTACAAACTAGTGTGTAAAAATAAATTTTTAACATTGATTTGTTAAATTTATTAACTGAAATTTAGTTAAAAACATATATTTTTCCTATAATTATGGTAAGTTGAAAATTTTGAGTGTGTAAAATTAATTTTTACAAACTAGTGAGCAAAAGTATATTTTTAACACACTTTCTTTTACTTAAATCAACTAAAATTTATTTTTTTAGAATAATTTGTTTAATAATTATCGTAAATTGCAATTTTTGAGTGTGTAAAATTACTTTTTACAAACTAGTGTGAAAAAACACACTTTAAACACTACTTTTCAATTTTTGAAACAAAAATTAACTAAAAAAATGATTTAAAATGTTTAAACACAATCTATACCAAAATAAAATCAATTTTTAATTAACTTGAGTACATTTACTGAAAATTTTAATTGATTCATGATCCAATTCTTAAATAAAAAGGTGCCGAAGTGAAATAACTTGCTTTAAATTTACTACCTACTCCTAACTATGTTATACAAGCGTAAAAAAGTTGAAAATTTTGACGAGGGGTCGCGATTTGTTTGCGAACTTTTGATCTCCAGATTCACAATCACCCCAGCGCCCTCGACCCTTAGCCCCTCAACACTCACACGTCAAATGCGACTACCCGTCGCGCGCCGCTAACAATAACACCATGGTGCACAGCAAAAAATGATTGAATACCAATTCCTCTACCTAACTACAAGTTAGAAGTTGGAAATGTTGAAATGTTGCAATACTTCAGAAAGATCCGTGTTGCAATTGTATCTCGCTGCATGTAGTGTTGCATAATGAATATACTCGTAATAATATGAATGCCGAATGCGTATTCAGGTAAGATTTGCTTGTGAAATGTAGAAATGTATCAAAAATAGCGCACAATGTGTGATTTCCTAATAAGGGTCGCAGACTGAGTGTGCTTACAAAGGATGCGGATGGAATTGGGGTGTTTCGATCTATTTTAGGGAATTTAGATGTCGCAGACGTCAAGTTGTCAATTGGCAATTGACATTGTTCGGAAATTTTTTTTTCCAAACGCCAGGAATTTTTAAATTCGAAACACAAACAAATATTTAGTCAAATAGTCAAGAAAAAAGTTTAGTAAAAAAAACCTATGTTGGAGAAGCGGTATAAGTGCCGACCATATCACAGAGCAATGTATTTTTTTCAAAAAAAAATATTTTTTGTTGTTTTATTGTTGATTTTCAATCAAAAAATTTATTTTATCCTATAATCTGCTTGTCCTTGAAGATTCACAGAGGGTTGACCTGTTTTAATAGGATTATTCATCATTAGACTGAATGTTATCGTACGTGCTCGAGGGTCTTTTTGTTTCCTGCGCTTCCGAAAGCTCCCAAAGCTTCTACAAACGTTCGATTAAATTTACATCCGTCGGACGCGTGCCTGCAAATTATTTTAAACTCCACATGAACTCAAATAACTTAATCACATTATTTTTAATAAAATTTTAGGATATTAAAGGAAAAACATAAAATTTATATTAATAATCATTTATTTACCAAATAATTAATCGTAATTATGTCGAATATCACAAAAATTAAACATTACAGCAAATAAACTTATTGCAGCACTTTGATATCAACTAATAAACATTTCTCCTAAGTCTTATTAACTCTACCTAAAAATTATTATACACAATCACAAGTTTAAATACTAAATGTAAAATTGAAAATGGAAAAATTCAAAATACAAAATACTAAAGTGGAATTAATCAACAAACAGCACTTCCCCAACTGAAAAAACAGTACTTTTCTATCATAGCAACACTTAGCTATCTTTTTGATAGATTTTGATAGGTAATATGTAAGACGTTGTTTTTGTATTTTTTGTGAATTTATCGCTGACGAAGTCGTGCGTCTTCAGCCGCAGCGCGATCTTCAGCGTATTCCAAGCATCCGATGCCGTCAAGTCGCTCCAAATCAATCCAACCTACCCACCGGACGCAAACTCCGTTCATAATGAATGCAGATTTAATATGTACCTGTAAATAAAGCATTATTTTGTTATTTAAATGACGATATTTGTAGTTATGTTCTGAAGTTGTATGTTTGGTGTATTGTTGGTTGCCTAGTGTTTTCATGTTTACAATTTTACTGTTTATTCAATTGGAATTAATACAGTTTTTGAAAACGCAGGTAAACATAAAATATATACCATCTAGGGTGGTGTTGTATGTAGTATACAGTAAAAGTCATGCGAAGCTGACTGACAAGTTGTCGGTTTTTGTCCGCGGCGCGTGTTTTCATGTTGCAAACGCAACAAAACGTGAAATTGACATTTCTTGCTCACAGAGTGTTGCATAGCCACATTCACGCATGACTGCAACCCGTATACCTCCTATCAACTGCTCTTTTTACGCTTTTCGAAAATTTCAGCTTATATTTGTTGTGGTATATTTTGAGGCATCTGCTTGATTTGAAAAGTTTGTTTAGAAATCTCCCGGCTGCACGTAAAAGTTTAACGACAGCCAGGAGGAAACCTAATGGCGCCACGGGTTTACGAGTTTTTCGGGATATGACTGGGATGAGCTTCCGCGTTATACGCGCGTTCCAAACAGAACATTAAAAAGTCGGCAAGGAACGACAAAGTTGCCCCGACACAGATCCCGTTTTCATAAATAATCAGCGGTTTATTCTTCAAATGTTTGTTTAATGTTTATCGCGTGCGCATGCCTCAATCGTAAAACATCAAAAAGTCGGTGCATTTTTAAATAAACCAGCGCGGAGCTGAAATTTTCATAACTGACCAATGTTATAGGTAAGATGGGTGATTTAGTATGTGCTGAAGTTGAAATTCAAAAGCACCGCGAAAGTAAGTCATAAAAACTGTCAGGTATGCAACTAATGTGACAACGCGCACGCGCAATAGCCAAAACTGCATGCTGAATATAATTTATAACCTCATTCTTTTCACATAACATTAAAAAATGAGTTGAACAATATTTTAAATTTATGTACTGTCAAAGTTGAGTTATTTTATGAACTCATTTCTAAAAATTTTGTTTTAGTTTAGTGAAAAATAGTAAAAAAATAATTTTTAAATTTTAGTTAAGTTATTTGAAGGCAGAAAACTGACCTGAATACTTTTCGGTCAGTTCTTTGAAAATAGGCTGTAGTTAAAATGCCTTTTGTGCACCCCGACACAAATACAAAGGTCATTAAGCCCTTAAAATTTATTGCTCCATTTACAATTGGTCCGTAGCAATACAAATTGCACTCAAAAGCAAATACTCCATACAATTTTCAACGCCTAGTATGGACAACTTTGTGAAGATGTCCGGTCAGTTGTATAATTTTACAACATAATCTTCTACTTTGACAAAAAGTCACGTAATTTAGGCACTATTTGTGTATTTAAACTTTAATTCTATGTTGAAATAGACATTGAAAGACGTGTCTACATTAGTAACTTCACGATCAATAAACTCGCGTCGCGCGCATGCACCAATAGCCGCCATTTTGTTTTTATCACAATCACTTACCTTGCCGAGTTCCTTATCAAAATCGCACTGTTTCTCAGCCACGTAACCATTCGAAGGCGGTGTGAAGACAAGTTGAAGATTCGTACCACTGTTAGTGAAGACAACTTCGATGAAACCTTCGCGACACGCATTCTGAAACCGCATCTGTCGTTCTTCTAAAGAACGATCTCGATGACCAGTGTAACGCACCTAAATTTAAAAAATATTAAAAATTAATTTTCTTCAAATTAATTCTTTTTAAATTCTTACCTCACTTTCCCGACTTAATTTCTTAAACAAATCATCACTCTCAAACTTCGCCTTTTGATTAGGTACAACTCGTGGTATTTTAAACAAAAACCTAGGTTTAGGTTGTTCGTACAATCCGTAGGAATCCAAGGGTAACATCCCAGCCAACGCCGAGTTGTTAACACCGTTCATTGCATGATGATGCATCATCTTGGAAGCACAAATTAAACTTGCTTTTAAAGATCACTATTTATTGATGATCGATGTGATCATGCACACTGCTCGGATGCCGAAGCTGCACTGACTGCGCTCTTTGAAGTTGGAAGCGTGCCAAACCCCTCTCGGGTTGTCGCTTGCCCCACCAACAAGGGTGTGGTGAGGTGCTACCCAAAGGCGGAGTTTCCACCAAACCAATCATGTTGGGTTTCATCAAAGAAAACACGTTTTAAAAGATTTGTAATGTAATCGATACTTCTAGTACTGTTAGTGTACTACTCGTACTTGTTTAGCTATATCTATAGCTATAGATGTATTATAGAAGTGAGTGTGAGTAGTAGGCACTTTAGAAAAAAGTATCAGAGGCTATTCTTTGCACGTTTTACACGTTTACTCTATTAGGACCAACAGGAAGCGTTCGGAGGCAGTTTAAATGTTTGATACCTTGATGGGATTTATCAGTGGGCGATCTTTGTTGGCATTGTGATGGAGTTTTGATACAATGTGCGGCGTTGACACATCTGTTCTCGGATACTTGCGTTCCAAGCAGTTTTTTAGGTGCATTTTTGTTGTTTGAATAACGGCGTGTCTTTGAAGTTTGCTTTTTTGATGTTTATCATGTTATAATGTTATAATCCGTGTTAAAAAATCTGACTGCTTTAAAATATATTTACTTACAGGAAAAAAGACCATTTTTAAATTTTAAGCTTAAAATTCAAAGTTTTGTGAAGTTTTATTAGTGATATTGGTGTAATGACCTTGAAATAATCTGATTTTACTGAATTTACTGCCATAAAATCATTTTAAATCATAAAATTTAAGTAAAAATAAAGTTTCTAGTTTTCAGGTAGTTTGAGGGTTTATAAACTGTGATAAACTAGAGAACAATAGAAAAACCTATAATAAAATAAACAAGGTAACAGTATTAAGAACTGAATTTGGTGTAATAAATATTCTCAGAATATTAAATGTGTAATAATCCTATTTTATAAGGATTACACTGCGTCAACGTAATGAAAAATGTGAAATTCCTTGTTTCAAGTAAATGATTTTGTGAAAAATAACAAAAACACTGAATATTTGTTGCAATTGAATAAAATATGCCTAAATATTGATTCTACTGAGAAAATAAACATAGAATATAAGAAATATTCTAGATATAACTGCAAAAAGTTACTTGTTTTGCACTAGTAAACAAATATTGCGTTTATCAAAGAGTTTAATCCACTTTAATGCATAAAAACAAACTTTTGATCAAATAGTTTTGAACTTCTAAATTATTTTAGATATTTCAACCTCATACATTCAAAAAATCTATGTTTTTCTTTACTTTTTAGTACAAAATTCAATTTTATGCTTTGAAAACACTTTGAAGTCATAAACCATAAAACCCTCTCACAATAAACATCAATACTTAAGCCGTAAAATAGATTTTCAGAAACTGACACAAATCATAAACCAATCCCCAATATTTCCAAGTCTCAATTGTTTAATTGCCACCAGCCGCCATGTTTGTTTGGCACCCGTGCAGCCTTGAATCCATTGTATCGCATTCTAATGCAAATTTCATTTTGCGTCGCATTTCACTTTATTATGACATCAAACGAGTTTATGACAGTTACGCCTGTAGAAAATCCGAATGCCCTCGAACTTTCCGATAGCATAAAAACTGGTAGGCTGTTATTACTTATGCACCCTAATCGTAATAAATCCCCTTTGCCAACGGCGCACCAAGGGGTGATTTTCAACCAATGGGAATAGTTTATACAGAATGTCCAGGGCACAAAATTTATAAAAATCAATTTTTGTATTAAAAAAAAAGTACAAAAACGGAGAAATATTAACTTCTTAGACCGAAATTAATATAAACTTAATAAAATAATGTAGATTTAATAAAATTATTAATAATTTGCTGGTTTTTTGAATATTTTTGCTGTTTTTCTTATTTTTTAATAAAAAATTGATTTTTTTCTATTTCGTAAGATATTTAATTTTATTATAATTTTCTGTGGATTGATATTTATTTATTTTAAAAGTTTAATATCAAATTTAGCAAACGCTGTTTGCAGAGCCATGGAAGCAAACCCACAATAACTGCTCATGTAATAATTCGACTGAGCTTGCGGCGTCAAACCTTTGAAAGTCCTTTGCACATCGTTGTAGTAATACGCAACAAAAAACATATAACCAGCTAACATGGCGTAAATATTCTGCTGCTTGTATCCAGCGTAATAAACCTGCCCCCAGCAATTGGCAGGAATGGTAAAGATGTACAACTCATGCGCACGTTTCGCGCTGCCCATGTACAACGCAGGAATAATATTAAATAATCCCGCAAGCAATGGCAGATAATTCATTTCGGTTGCAAAGATTTGATAAGCAAAAAATAAATCTGTTGTGAAAAATGATGTGCTTAGTAAAAAAGCACAAAATTCCAAAATAGTAAATTCCATTGATTTTGAAGTTGTTGATAAGTCATTTAAATCATCATTGCAGATTGGTTGCAGATCATCAACACGAAAACGATGACTGCTCAGATGATGATGGCGGCTGGCGCTAAATTGTCGATATTGTATGTAAAGAGATCCGCGTCCATGAGGACCAGAAACTGCTGATTGTCGATTGTGATATGAAGGACCATCGGTTACGTATGATGGTCTTTCGGCAATTTCGATATCTTCTTCAGGTTCTTCAGGAGGTGTATATTCTGAAACTGTGTTTTAAGGTTAGAATAGGTTTTTAAGGTTATAATAGATCTACGTACGTGACACTAAACCGTAGAGTATGATAAAAATCATTCCAATGATGCTAAACGTGAATTTTTCATTATAAGCCATCCAACTAAGATGTAGAAATGAAGCCAGAGATGAAATCACCAAAAGGACGTAGGAAAATGAATTTCGATCCATGTTTATGCGCTTAAATTTTAATTATATGTATATTATGTGATAATTTTGAACGATTTATTCGAAACTGTTGACATGTTACATTTCGAACCCTGACATAAAATAGAAATACGTGGTTCACTATAGGCAACCAAACATACACAATTCTTTGGAATATTATAACACATTTTCAAATTAAGTTTTAGCAGAAAAATAAGTCTTTTAATATTACATATTAATATTATTTAATGATTTTAATGATAATATGGTATTTATTTTGTGTTATTTATTGTTTTAAGTTTAGTTAATTGATCATCATTGGTTTACCATGCATGCCATGCCAAGAGAACATAAATAGCAAGCAGATAATTAAACGCATCTTCCTTCTTGATGCTGCTATCATCTTCAAACTTGATCACTCCGTGTGTGAGCGCAAAAATAGTTGTAGCACCTAATCCATACCAGTTACTATTAACAATGGTAACAAAAGCAGCGCTTATTGTGTTGCCTAAGATCAAAGCAGAGCTGGCATCTTCAAAGTCCTTCTCGGCCATGTAGAGACCAAACGGAATAAGGCCCACAACCGGATGAAGATAAGCCAATTCCGGTCTTACTCCGTGCTCTAACCATAAATGGCACGCAAAGAAGGGAAACGCAAAGAACCACGTGACTTTGTCGACAAAGTCGTAAACTTTCTTTGCGTTTTCATTACCATCTTCACCGCCTGCAAACAAAAACATTAAAAAATCAAAATAAAACAACCAATCGCTATTTTGAATACGTACATGCATTGATGATGCCAGTAATAGACCTAAGAGTGAGGATGGAGAAGGAAACATGAGCAGGCGATACGGAATCGATGTAAAACCCAGCGGTCCAGATGGCAATACCACCATAGATGGCATGCGAAACTACGGATGACCAAGCAACCATCTTCAGTGATAAACTAGAATTTTGATGAGAATTTTGACGAAATATGCGCGTGAGAGACGACAGTCAGTTTCAACTGGTGATTTGACAAGTGACCAAACAGAAAACACGAAAAACATGCGATGCCATCTTGGATTACCAATATTTCCGTTTCCACACTACACTACGAAATTAACAGTTTGACATTTTAGAAACGTACTTCAACATTGCACAAATTCCTAGTGAAAATTACAAATATCGAGCGCAAAAATGGGTAAATTAATCAACAATCTATCATTCCTGTGCATCCTCATAGGCACAGTCCTCAACTTTGATAAAGTCAAAGGCTCTGAAGGAATCTACACACAATTAGTAGTGGCATGCCTGGTAATCAATGGCGCAATCGGGGCCTACCTTCATTTGGACGAACAAGTCGACGCCACCATGGAAGACATCCAAAGAATGTGTAAAATCTTAGCTCCTGCATTCCTAACAACAAAATTATGGTTAGACAATCAAGTGGTACCAGGTTACTGGAACTACGTCCCCCTGGTGATAAGTCTATTGATTGTCTTCACTGATTTCCTGGTTGAACCAGGGCAGAAGATTCAAGTCGCCAGAACAACGACGATTCTACACGCTTGTTGTCAGATGTACGTCGCGTGCAATGCCAATGATTTCTGCCTGGGTTTACAAATTGTCACACTGCTCATTGCATATTTGGGTTATTCACGTGGGGAAATCGTTTCCGGAATACTACCATTCGCGCAATACAACTACGTTTCCGGTATATACCTGATTGAATTAGTGAAATGCACGTAGATCTAGGCGGCTGCGATGCGAAAACAAAATGGCGGATGGCGTGTCATAACGACAGCTTCTAACCCCGTCATAAATTATTTTTTTTCGGCCCGGGGAGCATCATCAGCTCGTATCATCAATCAAAATTTTCAGTTTGGCAAATAATAACTTTTATCGATCGATAAACATACAAAAGGCACATCATGTCCCAGTGTAACATTCTCAGTCCAGCGTCCTACGCGGCGCTGCTCGCCGGAATCCTCTATGGCGTGCAGAAGGAAATGCAAGAAGGAGGTAAGGTGACTCTTCTACTAGGCTCGATTGGAATCATCCTGCTGATATTCGCAATGTCCATCTATGCGACATATATGAAAAGCGGAAGTTCACTCATGGGCTCCGATTTTGCTGTGGTGCTGCGTGCTGGATGCAGCTCACTATTCACCACCGATTTATTTGTGAAGAATCAGGTGATCGGCGATAAATTTGATTATCTACCGTTGATCATCTTTTGCGTGCTGGGTGCGGTTTATCTAATGCAGGGAGGAGAAAACGAATGTGATCGTAGTTTCCTGCAATTATATCAGATACTCAACATGGTTGCGCAGTTGTACGTCGCTTGCAAAGCTGGACAGATTCTGACTGGCGTTGCGGCGTTTTCCCTGCTGATGGCGTACAGTATGTGCACCGAGGGTGATGGGTTCATGGGTGTAAGCCCAGCGGTTTGGTACAATTTCCTTGCGGGTACTTATTGTCTGACTGCGAACGGAAAAGCCATTGAATTGAAGTAACCGCAGAAGTTTTCCTGCAGAACAGCGACTTCCGAAAGATAGACAACCAAGTATACAGATGGCCTATGTTTAGCCAAACGATGAGATCTGTTTTATGTTGGCGGAAGTCGGCGATGGCGGCTAGGAAATACAGAAATTAAGGAGGAATTTAGTGGATTTTTTTGTGTCATCGTCGTCATTTCGTCTCTAATCCGAGTTGATTCGTTCGACTAAACGCACACAACGAACAACTGATGTATGTACATATTCCATAATGTTTATTTGCACATTGAATGCGTTTCTCTAATACAATAAATAACATCTAATAGAGAAATGAACCATGTCTCCATTTTTAAAGCGTGTTTCACAACGTTCATCGATATATGTATATAATAGAAATGTTTGTATAAAAAATATATAAGTCGCTAATAAAAATGCTTGGACATTGCAGTACTGCACAATACGCATAAAACATGTATAAACTTTTTTTTGTCTTGTTTAGAAATTCGATATAACATTCCGCGTTTGAGTCTTGAATCATCTTGTGTTTGTAAAATTCGTAGAAAAGTTACGTTTTTAAGCCTGGTATAATTTAAAATTTAGCACGTCGCTTGTACTTTGTTTCAAAGTCTTGTTGAGTTGCAAAATTTTTAGGCCCACCATCAAATCACAAACTGTACATTTAAGCTCTAAGCTTGCAGTGCTTTGAGTGAAAAGGGCAGGAAGAAGCACAAAGCATAGTTGTAGAAATCAATGGTTGGCATCTCAAAGATTTCACAACCCTCCCTCAACACAAAATGGTTGATGCCGTACGATAAGCCGAGACTCATACCATAAAAGTTTTCCATGTTAATGGAGACAATAAAACATGAGAGGATATTTAAAGCTATAACTATATCAACAAACTTATCCCTGTAGGCCCTGAAGTAGTAGCACATCCATATGAGAAGTGAGCAGGCAATATGCACATAGGCAATAAGCCAGCAACTGTTGCTCTTCATCCATAGCTCAGTGACAATCAATGGGAATGTGAATATTGTTTGCAGGAGTCTAGTATGGCTGTAAATGGTGTTGGATGTGTAGCCATTCGCTGGATTTCCTAAACCAAAACAATTTTTATATAAAAAAACGTTGTAATTCAAGTGTTTTTAATTCAAATAACTTACCCCATTTCCAAATACCGCTCAATGAGTTGGTCAGCACGATTAAGTATGAGAATATGGGGTGGTATCCTGCGTTGTGGTTTTGTGCGGTGTAGCTTCGCAGGCAGTAGACGCCGACGAAGGAGAGGAAGATGTGTGATAGCGCCGTGGAGTAACGATAGTACATGTTGCACGCGCGACTCTCATGATATTAAGTTTCATGCGTGAAATGCATGAAATATAAATGTGCGGCGAGCGTCACCGACCGCCTACACCAAACAATAATAGTTGGGTTTGTTAGAACCTGAATTGAGAAAATACAACAGAAAGGAATTTTGAATAATTTAGACGACATTTGTAGTGTATGCATATTTACAGAGGTAAAACATGTACATATCATCAAATATGAGTGTTTAAGGACATGTCTAGAGTCCTCTTGTTATGTTAAACACTGTTATCATAACAAAGGATTAATATTTTAAGCAGTTTAAGTGCTATCCTGCTGGAATGACCTTGAAAATAATAGTTTTCAAAACTGCCACCGATGGCGCTGTTGTCGATATAAAGTAAGACTACCTGTACACTAATTCAGTTGAAAACTTATAAGATTTTATTTTATTACGCTAAGTAAATTATTCGCTTTATTGGTTTATCTTTATTTAATCAAATTAGGAACAAACTCCATACAAAAACATCTACATTAATAAAAATCTGTATATAAAAATCAATTTGCACAATGTTAGTATTGCCGTCAATGAAAATGTCGAAAAAATACATTTCTGTCGCGTTTTGTACTTGACTGCACCAAACTCTGGTAATATATGCTTATAAAATGAACCCTTCTGTGTTTACGGATCAACAAAAGAGATCATGATATACCTGGTCCCCTTGGTGACCAGTAAACCCTCATGGTAATGCGTCAGTCTACCCGGATGTATCAACAACCATCCGGGTTTGGTATCAACCACACTGCAGTTGTATCTGATGAAGCGACAGCCGCCACCTTCGTAATCCACACCGCGTTCATTTAATGCAATGTTGATAGTGTAAGTGGAGCTGTCATGATGTGGCCTCAAAGATGGCTGCTCATCAGGTCTGTATCTTACCACGAAATTCATCAGCGATCTAGGTGGATCGTGAAAATATCCGGTGAAAACATGTTCTTGAAGAGGACGTACATATTGTTGAAGGAAATAGAGCCAATGGCGTTCCCATCCGACTTGGTTCATGTGAATATCTCTTGTGGGTACTGCTTCATACCCGCCTTCTAACCTAGAATCACTGCTACTTCCATCGGACCACTTCCCGAATGACTCCATCATGTGAATAAGATCGGAATTGAATTGTTTTGTTACAATTGGGAACCAGTAGACGTCAGGGCATGGCTGCGCTGGTTTCTTTTCCGGGTTGAGATTTTCAGCGAAATCTGGATGAATATATCTCTCTTCCCAGTCTTTTTGATTCTCGAAAATTTGATACATATCCGGAACAGACAGAGCTGTATCATACGTTTCAGGATTAGCAAGATGGCCGAAGTCTACTCGGTTACTGACAAACATAAACACATCCAGGTCACGCAAATTCGCGCAGAAAGACATGTCAGCATCGATGTTTTTCCGCGAGAAATGCAGTTTTGTTCTGTCATAACGCTGCAGCAGGGAACCCTTCACGAGATAGCAGTGTGCGATGAAAGGTACGTTCCATAATCCTCTGCAAAACAATCAACCAAGACAGTTAGAGTGTGAAACAATAAATAAATGCGCCGCTAGTTGGGATTGAATGAGCGCTAATGAAGTAATTGTGTTTGCGGCGTGCAAACAAGATAGGGCTGCGCGTAAGAGGCACTCGTGTTCGTTAGCATTGACCCTTATAAACCGACTGACACGACAATTACGACAAATCGGCGCGCGCGCGACGCACAAGCATATGCACAAAATGGACGCGCATATCATACCGCATCAGCAACAGGCCGAAAACGCAAGCCAAACACATTCGCAGCGATAAACACGCAGTTGAAATGCAATCGAAGAATACGTGCGCTATCGTTATCAGCGCGATCATCATTCTGGTCATTTGTAATAACCTTCAAGAATGCGACTGCGCACGCGGAGGTAATTACACAACCACAACTACAAAAACATTTAAATTAAAAAAATTCAATTTCAAATAAAGCTCGACAAAGAGGCAGAGGTCGTATCTTCAGTCAACGCGTTCCGGTGGTAATACAACATCACAATCCTGCCGCCGCGAGTTATTACAACAATAAAGACGTAAGTGTAACATAACCAAACTTTTCTGCCCGCAATAATATAATTATGGTAATTTTAGGGTGCAAAAATCGTGAAAGCCAGCCATTTTGAATTGGATTACATGCTGGGACGTAAAATAACGTTCTTCTGCATGGCGACCGGTTATCCACGTCCGGAGATAGTCTGGTTCAAGGACGGGATTGAACTGTACGCGCACAAGTTCTTCCAGGTGCACGAATGGCCCATCGGCAATGATACGGTGAAGAGCAAGATGGAGATCGATCCGACGACGCAGAAGGACGCCGGGTACTATGAGTGCCAGGCGAACAACAAGTACTCGATTGACAGCCGCGGCTTTCGCACCGACTACGTGATGGTCACCTATTAAGGAGGGCAATCATGGCGCGCGGAAAATTTAGCCAACACACACACAAGTAGCACAAATAGGTCCAGGACATAATAATCAACAAATCAAGTGTGTCGTATTAGATGATTGTCATGCGCGCACACAAATACATTGAATTTTTTATGAGTAAAATAAAGAAATATTTATGGTAGCCTATAACAATTTGCAATTGTAAGGTTATGCGGTGCGCCATTTTGAAATATAATTGTAGGTATTGTTTTCGATGGTGAATTGAATGTAAGTGGATGGTTTAAATCACGACAATTTGTTGATCCGTCTGTGGGCCATAATGAAAGGTGGCGGTGTAGCTTACACAAATCGCTCTAAATTGCCGTCAATTTAGCGACAATTGGCAGAGTGTTTGGGGGGATGGGGCCCCCGCATGAATTGCATAAGCGACCTGTGCGAACGCCATCGGCGGCGGATAACAGTCGTCCGCGTACTATACTCAAGAGATGCGGTTGTTGGTCTGTTTGCTGTGCGTCGTCCTCGCGGCGCACCTCGTCACAGCACGAAGGGGTCGCACCAGAACAAGAGCTAAATCAAAGGTATCCACCATTTGCCATTTAAATCAAACACGAAAAACTAAATTTTTGTTTTTAGTTTCAAATTGGGTTGCCTATCACTGGAAAATACCGAGATCCTGAATCTGATCAATATTACAACAATAATAATGTAAGATATTACCTAACAAATAAAACAATCACTAATAAAATCCTTTTTAGGGGGCTAAAATAACCCTTGCTTCACACTTTGACTATGAATACGTTCTGGGCCATAAAATTGCTTTCTTGTGCATGGCGAAAGGCAATCCGCGACCACACATCACGTGGTACAAAGATGGCGCTGAGATATTCACGCATTTGTATATGAATGTGCACGAATGGCGCATTGGGCCCGATAAGGTGAAGAGCAAGCTGGAGATCGACCCGGCGACGCAAATGGATGCCGGCGTGTATGAATGCACCGCTGATAATATGTACTCCATTGACCGGAGGTCCTTCAAGACGGACTTCAGCATCGCTTTCGACTGATTTTGTATTTTGTATACTTGCTAACATATTGTTAACCAGCACGACTATTATATAGTGAGGAATAAATGTAAACCTTAACAATTCTTACCTGCGGTCAAAGTGGACTAGGTCTAGATAATCATTTGATCTTGCGTAGAATCCGTCTGTGGTGAGTGCTCCCCAGAAGTTACTCCATGCTTTTCCGGGGCGGGAGAGCATTGGGGCAACCACGGTGCGGTTTTGTTGGATTAATAATTTTAGGGTGAATGGGTTGTCTAAGTGTGCGATGGAGTCCACAGAGAAGTAATAATCGCATTTTCGGGCCACACATTGATCCCTGAAAGATTAAAACAGTTATAATAACAAATATATGTCATAATAATTTGTTAAAAGTGGAAAAATCTTATGTTTTTTATGTGTTATCAATCATAACCTATAAATAAGACTACTTTTAGACATTTTAAGTCATCCACATAAAACTTACAGTGATAAATCTCTTGCTGTCCATTCATTTGTTCCATCTTCAGGTGTTATTTGTTTGAATGATAAATATTCGTCTTTATGTTTCTCACTAAACTCTTCAATCAATTTGTTGTGATACTTTGCCTACAAAACACAACATTTTTCAAGTTTCTTCGTTGAAATAAATTTTCTATCAACTTACATTATTATGGATGAAGAAATGCATCCTTTTCTTAGGATATTCCAACTTTACTACTTTCTGCAATTGTTCCAACAAAAATGGCGTCGCTTCCTCAACAAACAATGCCAAGTAAACGATAGGCAACTCTTCTTCCGCTATTTTGTCAACATCAATAGTCTCAAGTTCACAATGGCGGCATCCATCTTCCGGAGTCCATGCTTTTGCAACATAATTTGCATAAGCATTCAAATGTAGTTTAGATGGACCATTCCCGTGTAAAATCAACGGTTGTGTAGATGATAAGAAGTTGTTGAATTCATAAATGGTTGTAGATTGTTCTTTTTCATCGGCATCGATTCTTTTAAGTTGAATTTCACCTTAAAATAACATAAATAATAAGTTATAAAATAAAATTTAAGAAAAAATTGAGGTTAGACTTACTAATGGCGCCATTAAGATTCTGAAAAATGTTGCTTTTATGATCCAACTGGAATTTTAACTCCTCTCGCAGTTTTTCATCCAAATATGCGTTGGTATAGAACAACTGATCATCATCTTTGTCTTTAATTGTGTCATAGTTTAATAATTTGAGTATTTCTTTGACATAACCAATGAATAAACCAGAATTAAGGAAACGTTTTCCTACAGTCACTTCTGGGTATTTATCAGCGAGAGATTTATCTGGCCAGCAGGCTGTTTCCGCCCCGAATAATACACGTGCGCCTGTTGATTGGAATTTTTCATAAATACTGGCGAGGTCTGATAGGAAAATCACATCATATCTACAAAAATATTTATAAAATCAATACATTTTTTATCTCTACGTAAAAATGAGTTGAAAACTAACCCATCAGTGAATAAAATAATTTTCTCCTCATCGTCTTTGTATTTTTCCAGGGCTTGTTTAAGTAAATTGACTTTCCATCCGCCGCCGGCTTCCAGGCGGATGTTATCACCGCCCAGCCACCTTTCGCCCATGCCGAGGACTTCCGGTTTGATACCGTATTCCGCCGCGGTGTGTAAGTACCTCTGGAAGCCATCTGTGTATTCTGTAGCGACCGTGAAGACTAGAATGTCATCTAGAAAGAAAATTGATTGATGCAATCGATAAACACAATTGTTTGTGAAATAAAGTGCATTGATAAACAATTCATCATCAATCAAACACTAATACATAACCTAATAATACTCATAGTTTTGTATAGAAATAATCAGCCATTTTGAAAGTAAAAAAGCAAAATATTGAGCACAAGAACATAAACGCGGTTATTACATCATGTCACAATCGTGAACAATCGCCGTTTATAAATAGAAATCGAAATTGTCAACATGATGAACATTACAGTATTATATCATCTGTAAAATCGTTTAAAATTACAAATAGGAATTACTCCAACATCTGTAGATCTAAAAACAAATGTAAATATACACGCCGGAAGTCACGCACCCAGTTTGCGTGAAAGACATTTTCAATTATCAACAAGTTGATGCTTAAAACAGAATATTACTCTGGTAATTGCAGCGTCAACGAGTTGAACATTGAATGAATCAAACGAGTGTTCCGCGTTGATTAAAAAGAAGAGTAACAAACCAGTGGGTTCATAACGATTAAACCAATCTTATCGCATTTATCGCCGTTTCGTTCCACGCTGAATTCCAGTTATTCATGACCCGGTAGTTCAATTCATGTTTTGAAAACATGTAGTAACACAAGTAAAAAGCAAGAAAATTCGAGAATTATTTCTTAAAACAATGAATATTGGCGTCTGGAATGTCGTAAATCTATAAATATCAACCGGAAACTCGTTAATTTTACTATTTTAACTCATAAACTTCTTAATTTTAATTGTAAAATGTGTAAATTTTCAGTTTTAACGTTTTTATTTATCAAATTCAATTCTTACCCTTATTCTCAATGGCACCGGTTAAGAATGGCAGTAATAAATTAACGATTAATACACAAAACGCCTTGGAATTCATGATTTTGTCTGCGCTTCTTCTTCGTATCAGGCTTTCTTCAACACTACTTGGGGCGTGGGTGTTTATCAGCAAAGAACTACCGCAAAAACAATCAAAGCGCACCGAAAACCGCGTTTATTATATTAATAATACATCGCAACATTACGCATCGCACGCACACACCGCGTATGAACGTCTAACAATTAATGAATAGGCAGGAGACGCTTAGGAGCACGCAGATGTTTTTGCTGAAGAGGGAGGAAGGGGATCTGTGAATGTGAAGGGGATTCAGTAGCCGGCAGTTGCCAGTAGCATAAACATCTGATCATTCGCTCGTATCATCGTTAAAGAATGCTGGAAAGTGTTCAAGACAAGTAGACATCTGTTGGTGTAAAACTGTAGTATGAAGAAGTATGTAGAGCCCTCTCTCGGTGAATAGAAATATTAAATAAATGATTTTGGGAGTCGTTAGGAGTTGGGAGTTTCGCCGTTGTCGATTCGCCGCGAATCTTTTCTTCCCGGTTCACATTCGCCGTGAGTCGATTCACCGCAAGAATAATTCAAGTTTTTAAATGATTTTTTCGCAAAAATAAATAGATTTATGAGAATATTCAAGTGATATATGTAAGTTTAATCGTAAATCTTTATTAATATTCATTTAAATTTATTTATTTCCGCATAAAAATGAGTTAAAACTTGAATTTTTTCTTGCGGCGAATCGACCCACGACAAATCAACCGCGGCGAAACGACTTACACCCGCTTTATTATTATTTAAACAACCTTACCTTTTTCATAAGGTTTCACAGGTTTTTCCAACTTAATTTCATCTTGATTTTTATATAAATTTTCCCGTTTTTCATTGGTATTTGGCGGTGAACAAAGTTTTCCTTCAACATCACATTGTTCCGGCTCAACAACTAAAAACACAAATCATCTCACAAATTATATATTCTAATTTATTAATAAATTTACTAATTAATTACCCTTTCTGTATTGTTTCACACCGCTGCATTCACAACTTAATAATGTCGCCCACAAAACGATGATTGCTATTGTTGCTGCATGCGTGGAGGTAGTTGAAGTTAATTTGCTTTTTATGCGATGCATTCTGCGCGACGGACGTTAACTAACTGACGCAGTGGTTGTTATAAGTCGCCAGAATTTTAATTTCGATTTACTTCGTACAGTTCAGTCCACTTTGGAAGGTAATTTAGTCACGGTCTCGCTTCAAATTCTCTTTCTTCGACAGTTCTTTTGCATTCCCTGCGTTAAATCTGCTGATTCCGCGTCTTTTTCACAGTTTCACAAGTAAAGTCCAACCACACTTGATTCAGCGATGCGCGAAATTGTCGCCGCAGTTGCCACAAAGTGAAAAAACTTGGGTGAAACTAAAAGCTAAAGTATAAAACTATAGAATGAAATGAATGCAGGTTCCGTCACGTTCAAGCCATTTTAAACTTTCGATAAAAACTTTTGATTCACTTTTTGTTTTCACGCACTTTTTAACAATTTTAGGAACTTAGAAAACATATTTAGAGTTTGTACTGTGTTTAATTAGAGTTATTATGGTAATTTTATTAATTTTATAATGTGAGGAGTTATGTCGACGAATGCGATTTAGTAAATGTGCATTATAAGCAAGAGAGTTTCGTATAATTATCGAATCGTGTGAGCACGACGCGTTTTAGCAGTAGCAGGATATTCCAGCTCAAAGCCGACAGCGTCAAACACAAAAACTTAATGCTTATGTAAGCATTTGAAGCATATTTCCAGTGAATCGCGAGGTGCGTTGCGTTTCATTTCATGCTTCTCACCTTGAAAAATGGATTTATACCTCTCATTTTGGTCATCATTATGTAATTATCATATCAATTTTTGTAAAACAATTCCAATTTTGTATTTATATTGATTGAAAAGTTCCTGTTTGTATTTTTGTATTGAAAAGGTAGAAATTAATTAATTTAAAACAATATTTAAGCAAAAAGATGATGGAAATGTTTTAAAAGATGAAATAAATTTATTTTTTATTGAAAATTTTGTTTTATATTATCCGATTAATGAAATTAATGAGCAAGTGGACAAACCACATAATATACGTACCTATAGTTTGAATCGTGTTTCCTGCGAAACATAAAAATACCCTCAGCTTGTAGGTCTTCGTCGTGTACAATTTAATTAGTCATAATAGGATCACCGCTCCGTCGACGAACGCACTTCGATTGCATTTTCAGTATTCAGTAGTTTTCCAGCGTCAAATCAAACGAAACAATGCCGCCGAAAGATCCAGAATTGTTGGAATTGAGGAAAGAGTTGGAGGAACTTTATAAAAATCTCAAAGTAATTAACATTAACTTCAATTCAATTCAATTTTGTGTATTTTGTGTGATTTTGTGTTTACTTGATATAATTATTCAGGAAGCTCAAGGAAAACAAGCTGATGTAACATTGGAAAGCGCTTGTTCGGGTGTAGGGACCCACCAAAGGTAAAACTCAGCACGAAGAAAGTCCTCAAAGGACACATCAACAAAGTCAACTCTGTGCATTATTCCGGTGATAGCCGCCATTGCGTTACCGGCTCCCTCGATGGCAAACTTATCATTTGGGATACATATACCGGAAATAAAGTTCAGGTTATTCCGTTGAGGTCAGCATGGGTTATGAGTGTGGCGTTTTCACCAAGTGGAAATTTTGTTGGTAAAAACAAATTTAATCTTTAAACATTCATACACTCATTAAATTACTGTTTGTGATGTAGCTTGTGGTGGAATGGATAACATGTGTACTGTTTATGACGTCAACAACCGCGATACTTCCGGTGCCGCCAAAATGGTACGCGAATTAGCAGGTTATGATGGTTTCCTCAGCAGTTGTCGCTTTCTAGACGACAAATCCATTATGACAGGTTCTGGAGACATGAAAATGTAATACATTAATGCACACTTTCATAAATTAACATTAATTGTATTAAAATTATGTTTAGATGTCAATGGGATTTGGAATCAGGTCGGAAAACCACCGACTTCAATGCACACAATGGCGACGTAGTCTCCATTAGTCTCTCACCAGATGGCAACACGTACGTCACCGGAAGTGTGGATAAATCCTGTCGGCTTTGGGATCTACGCGAACAGAAACCCAAGCAGACATTTTTCGGACACACTGCTGATGTTAATTCTGTTTGTGTACGTTTTATTATTTATTTTACGAATGATAAAAATTAATTTTGATTTTTATAAAGTTCCATCCAGGTGGTCAAGCGTTTGCAACAGGATCCGAAGATAAAACTGCCAGACTCTTCGATATCCGCAGCGATCAACAAATCGGCTTGTACGAACCACCAAACCAAAGCAGTGGTTTTACATCTTGTGCTTTGTCTTTGAGTGGACGTTTTATTATGTGCGGATCAGATGATAACAACGTTCATATTTGGGATACATTAAAAATGCAACATAATGGTACAAAAAAAAACATAAAATTCAATAATAGAATTATATTAATCTCTCTATTGTAGGTATTCTGCAAGGACATGAAAATCGTGTCACGTCCATCTCGCTAGCACCCAGCGGAATCGCGCTGGCTTCCTGCAGCTGGGATCAACACGTCCGCGTCTGGGGTTAACACACATGACAATATTCAACTCATCATTAAACTTTGATTAGTTATATTCGCAAATAAAACATGATATACAGTATAATGTCATCATTCAACTCTCGTACTCGTACTTCGATTAGAATTTACCGATTATCACATTCAACACTTTTCCAAATAATTGTTTTCAAAGCGTTAATATTTTTTGGAATTAATCTCGTAGATGTGTATGAAATAAATACATTTATATGAAATGATATGAATTTGTCTACATGATTCTTTTAAATGGTTCTTAACTGTAGCAAGAGAGCTTGTAATGAAATCGCTCCTGTTTCTTTGGTGCTCCATTCGGGACTGTCCCTCGCAACGGAGTAAGCGCCTGGTTTGACCACAACCTGGAACGCACCCAGTGCTTCCTTTCCAGGTTCAATTTTGAATGGTTCCTGAAGACAGTGCTGCATTGATGGACTGAAGACCACTTGGATGTCATCGTGTCTTTGACCAATCAGGTTACAGTATTGCATTTGTTCTTTGAAAGAAACATAAATATTGTTAAAAATGTGATTAGTTTATTTTAAGTACATACCTTTGGTTAATAATTGTCCTTTGTCTAAGATACAACGAATTGTTCCAAGTTTCGAGGGATAATAAGCAGTGTGCCATTTATCAGTTGATAAATTTCTGAGATTCTTCAATGGGAATTTAACCCAACCTATTAAATAAATATATCCACATAAATTTCAAATTCATTTGTTTACTACAATGTTATCTACTACATACCTATCAGAGATTCGTCCTTTAACGCTTCAACGTCAAGTGATTTAGTTCTGTAGCAATTCGTGCAATAACAAGTCGGCTCGTCAGTTGTGAAATATTCATCAGGCAGAAGCAAACTCTTCTTAAACTTGCAACACTCCAATAAATACTGACATGGTGGTTGTTTAGTAGGTGTTAAAGGTGTGATGGATATTTTCGCGAAGGAAACAGCATTTCCAGAAGTGACCATTACTCCTCCAGCACTTGTGTTTGTTGCTGTTGCAGAATTAGTCATAACTGGAATGTTACTGCTCGTGCACGACGTCAATGGTAAGGTAAGACTTGATCTTTCTTTCTCACACGCTTCCAAATCTGCTTTTTCAAAGTCTACAACTTCTACAACTTTTTCTTCCTCGTCTTCTTCATGTTGTATCTTAACCTGTGTGCATTGTCCATACAAATCAAACACAGCGTACGCTCCAAGACCTGGCCGTGGAATCCATTGAACAATCTCTTCGGGGTGATTGTTGATTACAAGTTGTAACCCATCTTCTGTTAAGACAACACCTACTGTATCCCCAATGGATAAACCTTGTAGTCTTTGCGCATAATTTGATCTGGTTTTTACTCCATTGATAGAAATCCAATCATGAGCAAGAATACAACATGATCCTTTAAAAGAGAGAAGTGTTCCTGGTAATGTCAATCTTTCTGGCAGACCACAGACTACTCCAAGCATCAAAGAAGATGACCAATTCTTATCGACTTGTTCAATAGTCACATGTACACCTTGATTGTATCTCAAAGCAGGTTGGACCAATACAACACCTTGGTTGTAGCTTGCAACTCGTCTAGCGACACTCCTGTTGGTTATTTCAATATTCCTACCATGATTATCATGGAATTCATATTTAACCAACTCGGGTATTGGCGAATGATGAATTTTATCAGGTTGTAAATCATGGTCTTCGGTTGGATCCTCTACTTCTTCGTTTATAACAGGTTCTATGACTATTCCAGTTGTTATAACTCCAGTTTCCTGGTCTACCATCAATTCTAAACTATCCTGCAGTCGAATACTTGCTATCGGTGATGAAATAGTCATACGTCTTGATACAACCTGGACACTCGAACAACTCCCACGCATGTCAATAACAACATACAAAACATCCGGAAGTCTTGGAAAGATCACCGGAAGTTCTTCTCCATTGACAAAAGTTTTCAGACTAGAATCCGGTGTGCGAACAATGCCAACTCTATCACCCACCCGCAACCATTGTAAAGATGGTGCGAAAATCTGTTGGACTTGATTTTTATAAATCAATTCATTTCCTGTAATATACGCTGTATCAGGTGGTAATGACAATGTATTCGGCGATGGAGGTGTAGGCGTCACTCCAAAACACAGTGTCCCAGCAAGGTGTGGCTGTAAACCTTCAAGAGAAACTTCAAAAATTTCATCTTGACAGAGTTGAGTAGCGCTGTAAACCACTGATTGAAGAACATCTTTTGCCCTGGTTGCAATTCTACGCTCATCAGATAAAACATAGGCCTTTGACGGACATTCATAAAACTGATGAATATCCAACTCCGATGTAGCTTGTACAACACTAGCAGCCTGCAGTGATGCAGAAGTTTCCGATCGTTGACAACTTTCCATCACCGCGGACACCGCAGGAGTCGCAGCGACTGGACTAGCACAAGCAATACTAACTTGTGCACATTGACCATATAAATCAACCACAGCGTAAAGATTACCCTGGGGTACCACACAAGCAGTACCTTGTGATACGCCATCTTTGAAAAATTCAATCGCACGATCCGCTGTCTGCATCACACCAATCCTCGCGTTTACTTCAAGCGTATCCAAATCACATGGATAACTAGACTTGATAGTCACACCGTTTTCTATGACTGAACAACCGCTTAACATCCAGGTATCTCTACCTAGATCTGTAGCAGTACTAGGTAGGTCAATCTCATCAGGACGCACCGCAGTGACACCTAATTCAATACTCCCTGACCAGCGGTCAACCATGCTATCAATAGTAATCTCAAACACTTCACCCTCTCTTAAAGGTCTGCTTGAGAATACAATACCACCATTAAACTCAGCTAAAGGTTGTGGTCTCCATGCTGTCAACCCATTGTTGATAATCATCGCATTACGACCGTGGACATGATGAAACCTTAGATCACTGTATAAAGTAGTATTAGAAACACTTGAATTCATGGTATCAGGAGAACCATAGTCATATACATCGACAATTGTTGCTTCTACAGCTTGACCATACAAATCAATCACACCATACACGCGTTCAGGGACATTTGATGAAGCCATACCTTGATCAACTCCATTAACATAAAAGTTTAGATACCCGTTGTTTTTGCGGATAACACCAACCCTATCACCGACTTGTAACCTATCTAAATTCACTCCGTATTGTTCCTGGACAGTGATACCATTGTGCATGATACCACTTCCTGTCATCATCCAAGTCCCAGACCTGACATTGGTCATGGTAAACGGGAATTCTAAATCAGTTGGACTGTGAGTGGTCACACCAATTTCTATACTCCCAGCCCATTTGGTGACAACCCTATCCAAGCGTATTTCAAACATTTCTTCGGATTTCAATGGGCGGGTTGTGAGCACCACGCCATTGTTGAAATCATCAGCTGCGTTTGGTCTATGAGCAGTCCTACCATTGTTTACCACCTGGGCATGACTCCCACAGTTTGGATGAAATGTTAGACGGTCGTAATAGTCTGTTGGGGGTTTACTTTCGGGGATTTGCAGTTGTTGGTCGCGGGTATTACGCCGGGTCATTAAATTTTGCTCTTCGCGTTCGTCCCTCTCAACGATGGATACTTTGATTGTCATTCCGTATAAGTCTATTACACCCCACACGCATTGTGGGACACATTGTGCGGCAATTCCCTGATCCATTCCGTTGATGAAATAGTGAAGATTACCGTTTACTTTGCGCATCATGCCCACACGATCACCTTCACTCAATTCATCCAAATTAAAATCGCCGTACTCACGTCGGGTACCTTTACCATTTGTGAGAATACCGCAACCTGACATCATAATGGTACCGCTTCGCATGTTGGTCATTGTTGCAGGGAATACCAGGGTTGCAGGGTTGTGAGTTGTTATACCCATTTCTATACTTCCGCTCCACTTATCAACTAAACGATCGATTCTGATTTCGAATAATTCTGCATCTCGTAATGGCCGGTGAGTCATCACGACGCCATTGTTGAATTCATCCAGAGGTCTGCGGCGTTCCGCAGTGCGTTGTTCGTTTGATAATTTTATTAAAGATCCGCATCGCTCGTGAAAGCAGAGTTTGCGCGGAATTTCTTCAGGTAGAGTCAAGCTGACGTTCATGTCCATGCGTATGTCAAGACTATTACTACTACTCAAACTCAACTCGCTGATATCTGCTCCCAGAGTGACATTTAAGTTGTCATTTTCGATAGCTAGTACCGAGCTGCCACTCATGCAGTCATCGTTATTGTGCTCGCGTTGGACGGGGCTGGCGATTGTAACTTGGACGCAATTACCGTACAAGTCGACCACGCCGTATACTACAGATGGTAAACCTTCAAAGGCAACGCCTTGTGACTCTCCATTGATCAAGAATATTAAATCACCTTCAGAGGTCTTTATTAGGCCTACTCTTTCATCTTGATTGAGGTTGTCTAAGTTTTGACCATAGTTTTCAACAATTGTGATGCCATTCTTTACCAGGGAGTATCCAGACATCAACTAAAATATTAAACAATATTTTTTTAGTTTATTATGTAATTTGGATGAATTTTTACATACCCATGCACTATGATTAAGTCTTGTAGCACAATGTGGAAAATCAAAGAGGGATGGTTGGACTTCAGTGACACCAATTACTACACCCCCTGACCAGTTATTTGCCTTCTTATCTATCTTTATTTCAAAGAGGACATCATTTGGAATTGGTTCTGCAGTGATGACAACACCATGATCAAAATTGCTCTCATAATTTGTTCTCACTGCAGTACAATTCTCATTCTGCAGTGTCACGCGATCTCCGCAGCGAAAATGAAAGTAAGCCATATTGGTAAATTTTATATTAATCCATATTTCTATAAAAGAAAAGAAAGTTACTATGAAAGTTACAATAAAATTAAAATTGAATTATGTCATGGTATTATGTCAGGTCAAAATTTGAGTGTGCATTGAATGAGTGTTTAACTTACTTGTGGAATGTTATTTTTGATTGTTGGAAAATATTAGATTGCATTTTCAATGTTAAATCATTGACTTTAACATCAATCTTTCTTGAAGATGTTTGTTTGATAGGAAATTAGAACCAGTGACAATATAAACATCAATACAGATGATCGCCGGGAATTTGCAACAGTACGCGTGCGTGAGCAAGTGGCAGAAGTAAGGCTAACTTTACACTTATTATGAGTGTAGAAAGTTTTAAATGTTAGCTGGTAAAGCATGAACTAGATTTGTGCTAAAAATGTCCGAAAAATGCAAATTTTAATATTGTTTATTGATCACCAATAAAATTTTTTGGGCAATAACATTTTTGTGTTATATTTGCACTATTTTGTAAATTATTTCTAGTTTTACTTTTTGTTATAATGCTTTTATCATTACATATGTTATAACACCTTATGTTATATACCTTATTGTTCTTGCAGCTTCATTTTTGCGTGCCTTGTAGGAAATACTGCGCTGCAGGTTGCGCGCGCAGTCTTATCGCATGTTGTCGCGTGCGTGTGCTTGTCGGCTTACGCGGTGTTCGCACTGCGTAGCTATGCTTGGTCTAGCTTGCTTCAGTCGTCTTAAGCGCGCTGGTCTTTCCGCACGCGTTCCTTTTGCAAACCTCGTTTGTTTATCGATATTTGTGTTCGAGGTGCGTTGCGTTTCATTGCGTTTCATCTACGGTATGTACTTTCTGCCATCTGCGGGGGACATCAATTGTAGTTCGCCATTGTCCACTGGTAGGTTTTGTATTAAATTATATATTATTTATTTATTTTTCATTTTTAATTATGTCTATATAACGGTCTCATAATTGGCATATATGGTCTTTTGTATGTACGCATTCGAGAAGGTTTTAGCATTGCGAAATTTCAGTATACACAATAGAGTTGTTTTGGTTTTTGTCTCTACGCGTTTATCGAAATCAGTGTGTTAATAAGTTTTTATAGCGTTCAGATCTTGTATTGTGCGCGTGTGTTGCAGACAATACGTTTTAGAATGTGTGAATAAGTGTTTTAAGTTTTAAGTTTATTTTTAAATTACATGTTTCACTTTCTTTCTACTAAATTAAGTGAAATATGACACAATTTCATTATTATCAATTTTAATTTTATGATTTTTACATGATTTTTGTGAAATTTTATATCTCGCTATGGAAATTCGGCTGTATCTCGGGAATGATTCTTTCAAATTTAGATCGCGCGAGAGTCATTTTATAATGCACGACTTTGAAGCCCCCAGAAATCACTCTAGAAGTGCCTTAAAATTACTTTGAAACATTTACTGTTTTTGTGAATTTTTTGAAATTCGGCTGTATCTCACCGTTTGTGCGATTTCGATGATTTTGTCACCATTACAAAGTGCGAGAGCCATTCTTTACAACGCGTATCAGCAATCATCAAAATCTTGCGGGAACACCCTGTAAAAAATTCTTGAACATTGCCTATTTCTGTTTTTTTCGAAAACATGCGGTGGAAATTGAGCTGTATCTCGCTAATCGTTTTAGATATTGGCATGATTTTTTTACGAATAGAAAGTGCAAAAGCCATTCTTTACAACGTGTATCAGCAATCCTCGAAAATCTTGCGGGAACATCCTGTAAAAAATTCTTGAAAATTGCTAATTTTTGTGTTTTTCGAAAACATGCGGTGGAAATTGCGCTGTATCTCGCGAATCGTTTTAGATATTTGCATGATTTTTTCACGATGAGAAAGTGCGAGAGCCATTCTTTACAATGGGTATTAGCGATCCTTGAAAATCTTGCGGGAACACCCTGTAAAAAATTCTTGAAAATTGCTATTTTTGTGTTTTTCGAAAACATGCGGTGGAAATTGCGCTGTATCTCTCTAATCGTTTTAGATATTTGCATGATTTTTTCACGATGTGAAAGTGCGAGAGCCATTCTTTACAACGTGTATCAGCAATCCTCGAAAATCTTGCGGGAACACCCTGTAAAAAATTCTTGAAAATTGCTAATTTTTGTGTTTTTCGAAAACATGCGGTGGAAATTGCGCTGTATCTCGCGAATCGTTTTAGATATTTGCATGATTTTTTCACGATCAGAAAGTGCGAGAGCCATTCTGTACAATGCGTATCAGCAATTGTCGAAAATCTTGCGGGAACACCCTGTAAAAAATTCTTGAAAATTGCTAATTTTTGTGTTTTTGAAAACATGCGGTGGAAATTGCGCTGTATCTCGCGAATCGTTTTAGATATTTGCATGATTTTTTCACGATTAGAAAGTGCGAGAACCATTCTTTACAACGCGTATCAGCAATTGTCGAAAATCTTGCGGGAACACCCTGTAAAAAATTCTTGAAAATTGATAATTTTTGTGTTTTTGAAAACATGCGGTGGAAATTGCGCTGTATCTCGCGAATCGTTTTAGATATTTGTATGATTTTTTCACGATTAGAAAGTGCGAGAACCGTTCTTTACAACGCGTATCAGCAATTGTCGAAAATCTTGCGGGAACACCCTGTAAAAAATTCTTGAAAATTGCTAATTTTTGTGTTTTTCGAAAACATGCGGTGGAAATTGCGCTGTATCTCGCGAATGGTTTTAGATATTTGCATGATTTTTTTACGATTTGAAAGTGCGAGAGTTATTCTTTACAATGCGTATTAGCGATCCTCGAAAATCTTGCGGGAACACCCTGTAAAAAATTCTTGAAAATTGCTAATTTGTGTGTTTTTCGAAAACATGCGGTGGAAATTGCGCTGTATCTCGAGAATCGTTTCTGTGATTTCAATGATTCTTTCGAATTTAGATAGTGCGAGAGTAATTTTATATGACACGACTTCGCCGCCCCCAGAAATCATGCTTGAAGTGCCTAAAATTGCTCTGAAACTTTCACTACTTTTGTGAATTTTTGAAACATTTTAAACTTGATTTTTTACATTCTAAAATTTTCAACATTATTCTAATGCTGTTTTGTTACGCAGATTATGGTGCCGGTGGAAATGGTTTGTGGTCCTGTATTGGATAGAATTTTATTGAAAATCTAACAAGCCGTAACAAGAAAACATCTTCAGGATTCTTCACAACGAGTCCTCGGGGCTCTGCAAAATTTTCTATTAATTATTAGTAATGGTATGTGGTATCTCTTTTTTTAAGTGTGGCCAATCACTGTGATTAATTTCTTTTGATAATAATGTACATGTGTTTAATTATAATAATGTATGTGTTTTAGGTTTAACGCGCCGTCATCGATTTATGAAAGGCAGCACTGAAGATGATCCCACCGAACTTGCGAAATTAATTAATTACTGCCTATGAAGAATGTGGAAAAAGAGAGTACTTCTTGACCTGACCTTTCAGAGATGTGAAACCAGCTCCCAAATCTACGCATTTGTGCAGGACTCGACAAGACTGAAAAAAAAACTGATGAATTGTTACTTGCGCTTTTAAGAATATTTGTTTTATTCTTAAAAGCGCAAATGTAAATTTAATACACTTGAGAAATGGTGTCGCAAGACTAGCGTTCCAAGTTTAATTTGCTTGAAAAAAACAGCGCAAAATTAATGTGGTAAATTTGATGCGACAAATTTATCGTGGTTGAGAAAAAACGGCACAAGACTTATCTTGTAAATTTAATTTGGTTGAGAGAAATTGCGGAAGATAGGTAATTGTCAAAACATAAAAAGAATATCAGCCCAAGACTTGTCTTCTAAATTTACTTTATTTGATATATTATTATACAGCTAAGTTTTCTGCTTTAAATTTAATTCAGTTGAGGAACATAGAGCATTAACGTAAAGTACGTCAAACAATAACTGCGCTTTATATTTATATAATAGGGTCCAGAAACATGTACCGATTTGTATGATTATTATAAAGTGGGGTATAATGTTTGTGCTAAATAAGCACGTTATATTTTTCTTGATGAACTGTGTGAGACTGTTTTAATGTGCAGATGCAGTGTATTGTTATTGCTTAGAAGTGTATACGTGTGTCGAGTGTTATCCGTGTAGAATTTTACAATAAATCAATTTCCACTTGATTTGTGTGTTGTCATCATCATTATCATCATGTCGTTTTAAAGACTTAACAGTCTGTGATTTGTGTTGTTTGATAGATTAAATTTGAAAATCATGCGTCGTCTAGATTTGACTTATTGTATTTTTGTGTAAATTCGCTAGTCATTTAGACAGGGTGGTGCATGCGCACTTTCGTGTACGTGTCTTACACGTACGCTGCTATTTAAGTGCGTGACCACTCACTGCCTCACAGACAAATTCGCACTGACACACATGCACGCCACACTGTTTGAAACACTTTGTTGTTTTGTGAGGTACTATAAAATGTTCTCAGATGGCGTAACGATGTAGATTTACCTGGAAATATTCCAGCGATAAAATTTTGTTTTGTTCATTCGGTGCGATAACGACGAGTGCACATTCCACACTTTTGACTTGTGTTATTGTTTGATGTAAACTCGGTAAATCGTGTTATATTTCCTGGTCACCGGTAATAATTAGTGTTAATATACGTGTCTGATCTTTTATCAGCTATTTATCGCGTGTGTAATCTTCGTAATTGTAAATTTTGCGGGTGTAATTTATTCACGTGTTCGTGAGTCCGTTGCCGTCGGGCGACGGCCGATGATATTTTGTGAACGCTAATAATTAATTGACTTGTGAAAAACATATGTGTCATCAACAGAGGAGCATGGATCAATGTGCTACCAGGTAAATATTGTCATTCCTATGATTATTATGCAAATAACAAGAATTTGAATTCAAAGTTTGGGTTCCGACGGAACGCAGATTCATTTCAACATAGCACGGAATGCTGTAGCTAATGTTTTGTTTCTCATTTATTTCAGCATTCGCCAACTTGCCGTCGATAGTACCGTCTTCCATAACCGGTAAGTAAAATAATTTCATTGTTTATAGAAACTGTTTGCCGTGTACTTAGATTTCAGTTTAGTTCTACGTTTAATTGTATTGCAATGTTGTTGAATTTTATTTGGTGAAGATTCAATAAGACATATTCCTCATTATCTCATCTGAATAACATTTATATATCATTTAAATAGTTAATGTAAAAAACAGATAATCTTTCATCATAAAAATTTAAAATTACATAAATCGAATTTTACTTTATCATTATTCTAATACTTAATTAAAATTATGGGCCTAGTACGTGTATCATTTATAGAAGGCCTTAGCATGAACTAAAAATAATTAAATAGACTTGTTTTGTTTATTTCTATATTTATCAGCAAACGTGAGCATTCGACACGAGAATTGTGTTTGTTTTGAACACGATTTACATCTTCTTATCGCCGTGCGAATCGCTACGTCCAAGATTGCCGTGTGTTGCCGTTGCCATCTTTATAGTTTAGTTTAGTTCGCATGTATCGTGCCAAATGCAATTGCGCGTTCGGGCAGCTGATAGTCTTATCATGAACTGTCACGGCCGTGTTTGCTTCGCTGAGGTACAGCATGCACTTTTAATATTTTGTCTTATAGAGAATTTTCAGTAGATTATTAATTTTCAATCCGCGCCTCTCGACTGCTTTTAGTTTCCAATTTTTAGCACTTTTAAACACGGTTTCGGAATGTGACGCAACGCGGAATTAAATTCTCCATCTGGCTGTATTTGTTTGTTGCAGGAATTTAACCCGCGAAAATTTGCATAAAAGGGTAATTTTTTCCACCATGTTTTGTGAAATGTTTTCATGGAGCTTAACTTACAGACAATTTACCGAAGCTTAAGATTCTTTAATCTTTAATCTTTTAGTTCTTGAGAAAATCAAGAAAAATTAGAAGATTTCGTTTATTCGTCATTGTCATATTCTCATGCCGCATCCATTTGCCGCCTGCAGCATATTTTAGTATAGTTCAGATCGCTCATATCGTATGTATGTATGGTGCCAAATGCAATTTGCGCATAAGGTCGCGTTCCGTCGACGAGCTGCCGGCTTTGCGCATCTATTGCAATTCGCACACAAGGTTGTGTGTCATCGACACGCCGGCTTTACGCATCTATTGCTTTTACCTGCGGGGTTCATGCAGCAGGTGCAGAGTCTTATTGTGAATTGTCGCATCGTAGATTCTATTCAGAGATGGCACTAGAATGAACTAAAAATCATAAAATAGAATTGTATTCGTTTTGAATCATATCAGCGTTTGTGTATAAACCACTTTCTTATCGCATTTGCCGGGCGAGATGCTACGCGTAAGATTCTCGGCGCGCTGTCGCATGCAGCACATTTTAGTTTACTTCTTATCACAGGTACCGTGTCTATTGCAATTCGTGCACGAGATCGCGTGCCAGCATCGCGCTGCCGGCTTTGCGAATCTATTGCAATTAACGGACAATGTCGCGTGGATTCGACGCGCTGGCTTTGCGCATCTATTGCTTTTACCTGCTGGGTTTATGCAGCAAGCACAGAGTCTTATCGTGAATTGTCGCATCCTTGCGTGCGCAGTTTCGGCATGCTCAATTGATGGATTGCAGCTAGTTTCGTGCCGGTCTCTGGCGTATCCAGACGTATATCGCGCAACGCGTTTCGTTTTATCAGACTTCTATTTTCAAAGTTTGCATTATAATCGGTCATCAATCGACTTAGTCGTAATATGCATCTGCAGTGTTTTCTTAATTAGTAATTGTGCGTTTAATGTGCATAAATGTTTTTACAATGCTGTGGTTTTATTGTCGGTTATTGTGTGAAATGTTTTTGTTTTAACTTATGTTTTCTTTTAATTGCAGTACTTGCCGTATCCTTGCAATCCGATGAGCGCTGCATTGGTAAGTTTATAATTAAGTTATATTATTCGGTTAAATGTTTTATCACATTTCACCTGCGTGTTGCAATAGGCCGCGAATTAGGGTGGCCGTATATATTTTTCTTAATGGTGATATGGAAAACGGATCATATTGGGGAAAACCTTTGTGAAATGTTTAAATTTTTCATCGGATTCTGATAGCGCAAGAGGGGTTTTGTTAATTTTTTTAATTTGGTTTTCTCGTTTGGTGTTTTGACAACTTCTGTTCAAAGCACCCTACGAAGGTAGCGGTAGAAGTAGCTCGTGTTCAGGGCACCGTTTTATTGTCGGTTATTGTGTGAAATGTTTTTGTTTTAACTTATGTTTTCTTTTAATTGCAGTACTTGCCGTAGCAAGATGACTCGTGTTGCAATAGGCCGCGAATTAGGGTGGCCGTATATATTTTTCTTAATGGTGATATGGAAAACGGATCATATTGGGGAAAACCTTTGTGAAATGTTTAAATTTTTCATCGGATTCTGATAGCGCAAGAGGGGTTTTGTTAATTTTTTTTTAATTTGGTTGAGTCTCGTTTGGTGTACCGTAGCAGGGTGACAACTTCTGTTCAAAGCACCCTACGAAGGTAGCGGTAGAAGTAGCTCGTGTTCAGGGCACCGTACGAAGGTAGCGGTAGAAGTGACTCGTGTTCAGGGCACCGTACGAAGGTAGCGGTAGAAGTGACTCGTGTTCGGGGCTCCCTACGAAGGTAGCGGTAGAAGTAACTCGTGTTCAGGGCACCGTACGAAGGTAGCGGTAGAAGTGACTCGTGTTCGGGGCTCCCTACGAAGGTAGCGGTAGAAGTAACTCGTGTTCAGGGCACCGTACGAAGGTAGCGGTAGAAGTGTAGCGGCAGCGGTAGCTTATCTTATAGAGAATTATCCGTAGAGTTAGAAATCCGTTCTTGTGTATCACCGTAACATTGAAATGGAAGTAAATATAACTTAACTGACATTTAAAGGTGTTTTATAAAGTGTAAAATACGCTTTACAAATTTCGTGAGTGTTAACTAAGCCGGGGCAGGTTTGGCAACCTTATTCAGGTTTGGAATAATTTTTATGGATGCGGAATTTAATTTTGTATCACCTTGTATTAAAATTAATTGCTAGAAAATTCCGTAACGCGAGTTATATTGATAATTGTGTGTATACGCACTTGTACTCATTGCGTTAGAAATTGTAGTTTTTTTTTTTATCATAACACGCGAACCTGGTCTTCGGTAAGTTCGGAATAATTTTCATGGATGTGGCATTTAATTTTGTATCTCCCTGTATTGAAATTTATTGCGAGATAATTCCGTAACGCGAGTTATATTGATAGTTGTGTGAATACTTACTTGTACTTGTTGCGCTAGGAATTGTAGTTTTTTTTATTATAACACGCGAACGCGGTCTTACTTTTGGTTCGGAATGATTTTCATCGATGCGGAATTTAATTTTGTATCACCTTATATATATATATATATATATATATATATATATATATCACCTTGTATTAAAATTTATTGCTAGAAAATTCCGTAACGCGAGTTATATTGATAATTGTGTGTATACACACTTGTACTCGTTGCGCTAAGAATTGTAGTTTTTCTATTTTAACACGCAAACGCGGTCTTCCTGTGAGTTCGGAATAGCTTTATTAGATGCGGAATTTAATTTTGTATCTCTCTGTATTGAAATTTTTGCGAGAAAATTCCGTAACGCGAGTTATATTGATAATTGTGTGTATACGCACTTGTACTTGTTGCGCTAGGAATTGTAGTTTTTTTATTATAACACGCAAACGCGGTCCTACTTTTAGTTCGGAATGATTTTCATAGATGCGGAATTTAATTTTATATCACCTTGTATCAAACTTTATTGCTAGAAATTTCCGTAACGCGAGTTATATTGATAATTGTGCGTATACACACTTGTACTCGTTGCGCTAGGAATTGTAGTTTTTCTATTTTAACACGCAAACGCGGTCTTCCTGTGAGTTCGGAATAGCTTTATTAGATGTGGAATTTAATTCTGTATCTCTCTGTATTGAAATTTTTTGCGAGAAAATTCCGTAACGCGAGTTATATTGATAATTGTGTGTATACGCGCTTGTACTTGTTGCGCTAGGAATTGTAGTTTTTTTATTATAACACGCAAACGCGGTCCTACTTTTAGTTCGGAATGATTTTCATAGATGCGGAATTTAATTTTATATCACCTTGTATCAAACTTTATTGCTAGAAATTTCC